ATGCATGGGGTGCATCACTGAAATCAGAAAGCTGATGGGGGAAAGAGAGTAATTTTGGAGCCAGGCTTGTGATTTTATTTATTTATTTTGGTATCCAATTCATGACTTTTGAATGCTTAGGTTGGCAATAGTGAGCTGTGGGGATCACTGTGCTGCAGTAGGGGAGGATCATTTAGTAGGGAGTGCTCTCCTCTCAGGATGAATGCTGACCCCAAGATCCCAGCATGGTGCTAGAGGGAGCTGTGCTAGAGGGAATGTTGTGGGTCATTCATCGGGGGCCTCTGGGCCAGCACTGCCCCCAATGCTTCATTGTGGTACTAGGGAGATCTGTATGGGGAGCGGTGTGGGGAAAATAGCAAGGGCCAGCACTCACACCAGTGCCCTAGCGCGTTGCTGGGGGAGGCTTCAGGAAGTGTTAGTGATTCAGTAGAGGAGCTTTTTCTCTTGAATCACTTCTGAGCCTGGGTTCCCTCAATCTTGGGCTGTGTGACAGAAAGTGCGCTAATGCAGAGGTATACAGTGTGCTTCCCTTTACCTCTGAGTTGGTACTAAACCCCATTATGGCATTAGGAGGGGCTCTGTTGTTGGGATGCCATCTTGGGGAGGGGATGAAAAACCACTTTTGGCTACTAAAAATCCCAGACTCTCTTTAGGAAATTAAGGGAATTAACCCTGGCGTCCTGACCCAATTCCAGCTTGGATAATGATATGCACTAAATTCCCTTCCTCACTTTCTGAACTAATTTGATGTGTGCTGTTGTGTGGTGCTAAACAGCTGCATTGCCCCAGATGTGGCTGCATTTTAGTGGAGAGTGATGGCAGCAGTGTACTGTAGCTGCAAGACTAGCAATAGCTAAAATTAAGGTTCCACAACAGTTTCCACTCCAACTTCCTATTTTCAGTCACAAATAACTTTCCCAGACTAACTTTTTAGGCTGAAATTTCCTAGATCTGCTCTCATTAACATTAATTTTGACACTGCCTGACTTGTGGGTGCTTAACTGTGGGACTGTCCTGATGATGGATTGTGGACTGCTAATACCCTCTTAGCACGCTTGTTTGATTATACAGAGTTTCCAGAGTATGAAAAACACTTTAGGAAGAGACGCGATAGATATTAGTTTCACCATTGTCACATGCACCTTTCAGTAACTATGGATGTCAGACTCCCAAACCACTTGTGATTGCCAGGTCCCAATACCGTAAACTTGTGACACAGGAGAGCTGGTAAGAGACAGCTGACTTGTCTTGTTTATGAAGTCTACACCCTTGTCATATGAAGGGGTCAATATCCCTGGGTACTATGACATCACATGCAAATCATAATACCAATCAAAATTAAAATAATACAGCTAATTAATAGAACATGGAAATGGAGATGTCTAGGATGGAAGTTAGGATGCATGACCTGAAGCCCCAAGTGCTGAGAGGATTATTCTGCCTCTTGAATGTTTATGGATCAATGTCCTAACCAATAAAGCACAAGATGGGGTATCAGTTGGTGTCAGCTACAGACCACCAAATCACACTAGGGAAAAGGATGACCATTTCCTTATGTGCCTGTCTGCAATGTGTAGGAAAAAAAGCTGAATGATCGGGGGGGACTTCAATCTGAGTGACATATCCTGGAGGTCTTACCCTGCCAGCACTAAAACATCCTTGAAATTTCTTAAATCAAAAATTAGAAATTATAGAAAACTGATAAGGGAAGCAAAGGGGCACAAGGAGAAATCTATCACCTGCAGAGTTAAGAACAATAAGGAGTTTTAAAAGATATATTAGGAACAAAAAGAATCCTGACAACGATATTGCTGCATTACTAGGTGAAAATGGTAGAACTCTCAGTAATAATGCAGAAAAGGCAGTAATGTTCAATAAGTATTTCTGTTCCATAGTTGGGGAAAAACAGATGACATAGTCTCATCATTTGGTGATAAGACTCTTTCCATTCCACTAGTATCGCTGGAAGATGTTAAACAGAATCTCCTTAAGTCAGATATTTTTAAATCAGCGGGTCCAGATAACTTGCATCCAAGAGTTTTAAAAGAGTTGCCGGAGGAGCTTGCCAGCCATTTAATGTTAATTTTCAATGTCTTATAACACTGGAGAAGTTCCAGAAGACTGGAATAAAGCTAACATTGTGCCAATTTTTTTAAATCATAAATGGGATAACCTGACAGCCTGACACTAATCCTGGACTAACATAATGGAGCAGCTGATATGCGACTTGATTAATAAAGAATTAAAGGAGGGTAATGTAATGAATACAACTCAATATGGCTTTATGGAAAATAGATCCTGTCAAACTAACTTGATATCTTTATTGATGAGATTACAAGTTTGGTGATAAAGGTAATAGTGTTGATGTAATATACTTAATCAAATGCCTTACAGAAGTTTGGGTGCCACACAGCATTTTGATTAAAAAAACTAGAACAATAAAAAAATTAACATGGCACATATTAAATTGACTAATGGATAGGTCTCAAAATGTAATTGTAAATGGCGAATCGTTGATTGGGTGTGTTATTGGCAGGGGTCGTACAGGGACTGGTTCTTGGCCCTATGCTATTTATCATTTTTATCAATTACCTGGAAGAAAACATAAAATCACCACTGAAAGTTTGCAGATGACATAAAAATTTGGGGAGTGGTAAATAATGAACAGGACAGGTCACTGATTCAAAGTGATCTGGATCACTTGATAAATTGGGACAAGCAAACAGTGTGTTCTAATATGGCTAACTGTAAACTTATACATCTAGGAACAAAGAACATAGGCCCTTCTTAGAAGATGGGGGGCTCTATCTTAGGAAGTAGTGACTCTGGAAAAGATTTGGGGGTTGTGGTGGATAATCAGCTGAAGTTGAGCTCACAATATGACCTAGTGCCCAAATGAGCTAATGCAATCCTGGGATACATAAACAGGAGAATCTCAAGTAGGAGTAGAGAGGTTATGTTACCTCTATGGTTGGTATTGGTGTGACCATTGCTGGAATCCTGTGTCCAGTTCTGATGCCTAAAATTCAAGAAGGATGTGGATAAATTGGAGAGGGCTCAGAGAAGACCCACAAGAATGATTTAAAAGATTAGAAAACATGCCTTAGAGTGATAGACTTAAAGAGCCCAATTTATTTAGCTTAACAAAGAGAAGGTTAACGGATGACTTAAGTATCTACAGGGGGAACCACTATTTAATAATGGGCTCTTCAATATAGCAGAGAAAGAAATAACACAATCCAATGGCTGGAAGTTGAAGTTAGATAAAAATTTACACCTTACTTTGCCTGAATTTAACAGTGAGGGTAACTGCAAAATTATTCTCGTCGTTAATCAAAATTGGTCACTTTTCTAAAAGCTATGCTGTAGGAATTGTTTTGGGGAACTTCTGTGTTGTACTGGAGGTCACACTAGATGATCATAATGGTCCCATTTGGCCTTGGAGTCTATGAATCTTATTGCACACCTGGCAATAATTCTATCTGGACATCAGTGGGGTTTTGATCACATGACCACCACTACAGCTCCACTACCTTCCCATTGTCAGGCTGGAGGAGTGTTCCTTTTGTCAGCAGAATTCTGGGTCTTTAGCAAGAAATGCCAGCATTCTCCTTGCTCTGCTTGATGTTGTCTGCCCTCCTTTTAGGCTGACCTTTAGTGGCGTTAGTGGTACTGGCGCAGATTGTGGTGTAGCCACTTCTTTTGCGGGTTGCCAGGCACACGCTCTTTGGAAACTATTGCTCTCCCAAAACGAACGACAGCACCTGGCATTGTCTTAGCCTAGAATTTTTTTGCTCCAGTTTCTTGAGTCAGTGGGGACTGATCATGCGATGAGCAGAAAATACAGTGACTATCCGTGTCACATGGTTGGGGTTAATATCCACTGATATCACTCTAGGGCAGTGGTCTCCAAAGTTTTTGGATGGCGCACCCCCACGGTGCCGCCGAAGAAAAGAGAGGGGAAGACTTACCGCAGGCATGCCGCCGAAAAAAGAAGGAGGGAAGACCTGCCGCAGGGGTGCAGAGCTGCCGCTGAAGAAAAAAAACACGGCGGAGTGCCATCCGGCGGCGTTCCTCCTGCCGCGCACCCCCTGGGATCCTCTGGTGCACCCCCTGAGGTGCACGCACCCCACTTTGGAGACCACTGCTCTAGGGCAGTGGTTCTCAAACTGTGGGTCGCGACCCCATTTGAATGGGGTTGCCAGGGCTAGCGTTTGACTTGCTGGGGCCTGGGGCCAAAGCATGAGGGCTTCAGTCCTGGGTAGTGGGGCTCAGGTTACAGGCCTCCCACTTGGGGCTGAAGCCCTTGGTCTTTGGTCCCCATACCCAGAACAGTGGGGCTCCGGCTTTGGCCTCCCCACCTGGGGTGGCGGAGCTCAGGCCTTGGTCCCCACTCCTGGAGTGACAGGTTTCAGAGCAACAGCCGTGTTAGTCTGTAGTCGCAAAAAGAAAAGGAGTACTTGTGGCACCATAAGCTTATGCTCAAATAAATTGGTTAGTCTCTAAGGTGCCACAAGTCCTCCTTTTCTTTTTACTCCTGGAGTGGTGTAGTCTTTTTTTTTTTTTTTTTTTTTGGGTCAGAAGGTCACGGTGCAATGAAGTTTGAGAACGCCTGCTCTAGGGGTTACTTTTACCCCGAGCCTCCTGAAGGCCACGCAGCCACCTGCAGCACGGCTCCACGCCTGCTGCCCACAGAGAGGCTCCCACCCGATGAGGGGCACGGGGCAACCCCCCCACGTAGGTCGCCCAATGTGAGGGAGAAGAGCCTTCCCCCCGCCTGTCACCCTGCGGGAGGTGGGGAGAGCCTGCCAGTCTCCTCCAAGCCGGTCATCCATTGGGGGCCGGGGGGAGGCTGACCCCAAGCCTGTTATCCCCTGGGAGTAGGGTGACCAGACAGCAAGTGTGAAAAATCAGGACGGGGGGGTAAATAGGGGCCTATATAAGAAAAAGATGCAAAAATCGGGACTGGCCCTAAAAATCGGGACACCTGGTCACCCTACCTGGGAGGGAGGGGCGCCCGCCTCCCTCTGCGTGGAGCTGCCTACCCACGCGCGGAGGAACGAGACCCTGGGTCGCGCCTCTGCCTCCCCTGCCTCTTTTAAGATGGCGGTAGCGAATAGCCGTCGCTAGTGGGTGACGCAATACACCTGAGCCACGACAATGGGGCGTGTAGCTTGTCTCTCCCAAGAGGGGGGGGGCGGGGGCTCTGACCGTCACGCTACGAGTGACGTAATCCAACCGTGCCGCTGGGAGGGAAGCCATGGTCTTGGCAAAGGACTCCTTAGCCTCTCCTAACATGGCGGCCGCGAGGCGCGAGAGGTCCGGCCTCGGCCCTGGCACTTACCTCCCCTGCCTCTTCCAAGATGTCGTCGGCGGCAATGTCGCGCGCTCAGTGACGCGCTCTGGCGGCGCCGCCGCGGGAAGGGGGGCGGGGGGAGCGGCCGGAGCGGCGCAGGCAGCGGCAGCCGCGGGACTGGCCGGGCCCCTGGAGGGGGGGGATTTAAAGGGACCATGTCCCCAGCGCTGGTGCTGCTGCGGAGGCCGGAGCCGGGCAGGAGGCGGCGGCGGCTGCGGGGCCGCTGAGGAGCCCTGCGGGCCCGGCCCCCTGGGCGCCCGGGAGGCGGGGACGGCGCGTGACCGGGTGAGTGTCCGCTGGGAGCCCGGCCGGCCGGGGACAAAGCGGAGCCGCCCCCGGGGACTCGGCGCCCGGCCCGGCCCTGCGGGGGGGCGGCGCGGAGCCTGGGGAGCGGCCCCGTCCGGGGTGCTGAAAGCTGGGCAGGGTGGGGCGGGGGCAGAGCCCCAGGTGTCCGGGCGCGGCGCGGGGAGCCCTGGGGGTGGGGGCAGGGATCCAGGTGCCCGGGGCGGGGAGCGGGGGATGCTGGGGGCAGAGACCTAGGTGTCCGGGGCGGGGCGCCCGGAGGGATGCTGGGGGGCCCAGGTGTGGGGCACGGGGGGAATCCTGGGGGCAGGGCGCCAGGTGTCTGGAGTGGGGCGGGGACCTGCTGGGGCAGGGCCCGAGGTGTCTGGGTTGTGGGGGCATGCAGTGCGGCAGATGAGGGGAGCAAGGGGGGGATTCTGGGGGTGGGGCCCCCGGTGCCCGAGCTGGGGAAGGGACGTAGCTATTCCGGGAAGGGAGTAAGGGGGTTGGGGGTGCGGAAGGGCAACCCAGCTGTCTGGGAGGGATGGCGGAGGGAACTGAGTCCCAGGTGCCTGCGGATGGAAGGCTGGTGTCAGGGGAGGGGGCAGGGGGCTGATCAAGGGCTGGGAGCCTGGTGCTAGGGGTCGTTGGGGTGGCTGGGAGCCAGGTGTCCTGCAGAGAGGCTGATAGAACTGGGGGTCAGCAGGTGTCAGCAGGAGTTGATCGTGCTCTGTAGCTGGGGAAATGATGGTGAGCGAAGGAGCAGGGAGGCTGGTGCCTGGAGATGAGCTCAGGTGGATGCTGCGGTGTTGAAAGACAGGTGCTGGGGGTGGAGGGCAGTGGGCTGATGCTGCTCCAGGAAGGAAATGAGAGGGAAGCTGATGGGGCCTGGGGAGGGGAGGCGAGGCAGGAGGGACGCTGTCTTTTCATGAGGAAAGGGGGCATCAGGTATGGTGTCCACCTCTTTTGAGCTGCCTGACATTTAGGTTGTGAGCTCTCTGAGGCAGGGACTGTCTGACTTCTTACTTGTCCGTACAACTCCCAGCACAGTGGGAACATGCCCCTTGATTGGGGTTCTTAGGTGTTAACATAATGCCAATAACAATGAGGATCATCCTACCAGGCAGCTAGTGCATAAGGCATAATGCTTGGCATGGGGAGGGCTCTGGGATGTGCCATGCTAGGATTTTCTCCCTAAAGTTTTCTTCCATTGCTGTTGCTGGTTCAGCTTCACCAGTGGGAGTGTGGATACTGTGCCAGCAGCTGTTGGCACTTCTAACCACAGTGTAATCTAGAGCTGCATTGAGCAGAGTGAGACAGTAGGGTGCTTAAAACGCTGGGGGCTGGTTAGACCATGTGGCCACTAGTGCTCCCAGCACTGCTCCCGTAGATGGAGCACAGCTATGGATAGCAACGGTGAGAATTTAAAGATGAAGAAATCCTACTGTAGAGACCAGACACAGTGCCAAATCTTTTGGAGTTAGATGTAAAACCCCATAAAGTAACACACCAGTGGCGGGAGGAGAGATAGGGAACCTTTCTATTCAAGGTTCTCATGCCTATCACTGTGCTGTCCGAGCATCTTCCAGAAGGCCACTAAGTGACCTGACTCATCTGTTGCAAGCTTCTTCCTAGCCAGTGACTGTGGTTGGATTATGTCAGGGTGGCTGATACAGCCCTCTCTAAAGGAGCTGTCAGGGATACTGATGGTGCCTGAGTGGGTTATGTGGAGTTGATGGAGTAGGGATGCTGATGATGTAGGAGATGATGCAACAGGGAGGCTGGTAATGCCCAAGGATTGAAGGCTGCTGGTGATCTAGGCATGGGAGGTGATGGGGGATCCTTACAGGCATGGGCAAAGAAGGCAATAGGGCAATTGACGGTACTTCAAGGAAGTGATGCTATTGGTGGCCCCTGAAGGGAGGTATTCTCCCTGGTGTTGCCTGGGGCAGGGAGTTAATGGGCATGGGGGGAGGGATAGCTCAGTGGTTTGAGTATTGGCCTGCTAAACCCAGGGTTGTGAGTTCAATCCTTGAGGGGGCCATTTAGGGATCTGGGGCAAAAATTGGGGAGTGGCCCTGCTTGGAGTAGGGGGTTGGACTAGATGACCTCCTGAGGTCCCTTCCAACCCTGATATTCTATGATTCATGCTAATGGGTAAGGTATCATCCCATGAGGTTCATCATACCTGAATTATTGTGTTCTATGTAGCCCTCTCCCCCTCACAAGTACAGGAACCTTCATTATAGTTTATTTTATGCAGCCTCTGAACTGTCAGTTTTTTTCAAGGCTTGGATTTCTGTGTTGAGAGTCAGCAACTGCCTTGGAGGGAGCTGGAGGGCATGCGGGCAGGCAGGCAGGGAGGGAGAAGCTGGAGGCTTTGGCAGCAGGTATGATACATTTGCAGGTTTTGGCATAAAAGGTGATCAGCAGTGAAATAATTTAACAATGTAGGCATTTAAATAGCAGAGTACAGCCCAATACAGTGAATAGGCCAGTTCATCTCCCCTGTCCCCCTCTAGAGCAATTGTTTCAGGCTGTCTGCAGACTCGGGCATTGCTTAAACATGGGATGTGTTTTGAAGGCTTGTTTTGCAACCAGAAAGGCTGGAATATTTTTTTAATTGGTGGTGGGGGAGAAACGGAGTATAATTAGATAGCAACTAAAAAAAACCCTACAATTGTGCAGAAATGTACATGGCCATGGGACCCTACTGGTAGTGGGAAGGGAATGTTGGCATCCTGGGGGGAGAGAGGTGCCCCAGGGATAGCTTTTCCAGATAACGTTGCTGAAGTCCCTGAATGCTTATATCTCTGCTTATCCTACTGCAGCATGAAATCTCTCCCTGTCAGATTCTTCAGTAAGGTCATTGTCATGGAAGACCCTGGAGCCAAATTCCCCAAAGATCCTAGCACCAACAAAGTTCAGATAATCCAAATACCAGCAAAGCCCCATATAGCTAAATGCTTGTTGCTAGATTTGCCAGCCTGCCTAGCCTCAGCACTACGACTGTGTAAGCAGAAGAGAAGGAAGATCTCCTTTGGGGATACATCCCTCTCCAGTTCCAGCTCTGGGAGAAGAAAAGCCCCTCTTTCTCTGCTAAATGCTCTCATTAGTGTGACTTCAGAGAAAGATCCACGCCATTCAGGCGTTTGGGAGATGTCTTGCTGATCTTTTGAGGCTTCTCTGAGGAAGGAAATCTTATGGGATCCTGTCTAACCTGACTTCAGCCCCTGATGTGGCTTTGCCATAATGGGGGGGGGGGGGGATTGCTTTGGGAGCTTCCCAAGTTCCCTGAATTCCCATTTGATTTGATTCCAGAACAATTGTTCTTATTTTCATCTATCTTCATTGACTCACCAATAGTTGTTTTGCATGGAAGATTAAATTTTACAGATTAAATAATCTATCTGATGCAAAAGTTAGGGTTCAATGACACGGCATGGGTCTGTGCGCACCTCTCTTGTGAAAGGCTATTTTAAACTGTTTTTTATGCTGTTAAGTCTGTACCATGAAATGGGGTTCTCAGACTTGTTCATAAGGTGGAGTGTGTCTTTGGGAAGAAGTGTCTAAGACAAATTCATGATCCCCTGGCTGATCATGCAGTATCTCTATAGCAACTACAGGAAATCCTTCATGGAAGAGTAACATCAGGGAAGTGTTTTGTGTCTGTTTGTCCTTCCCATTTAAAAAGAAGTTAATCACACTATCTCCTGCTCCCCTTTCCTCTGTCCTGCTGTTCTTTCTCCCCATGCAGTCTGACCTGTTGCCCAGTCGCTGCCTCTTTCTCCCCTAGACTTTCCTTTCCAACTGGTGGCTATGATACTGTTGATGGCTCTTCGGGGTGACTAGCACTTCAGTCCTGCTGTTGGCCCTGGCCCCTGGGAGCAGATCATGTTGCCCCTCATCCTGCTTGTAGGCCATGTCCACACTACAGAGCCTATGTGGGCATAGCTATGTTTACATAGCCCTAGTGTAGACACAGCATAAGCTGATAGGAGTCCTTCTGCTGGTACAGGAATACTACTACTTCGAATAACATTAGCTACGCCGACAGGAGCACTGTTCTGTCGGCAGCGCTGCAGGTTTTATTGGCACAGCTATGTTGTTAAGGGTATGATTTCTTCCCCCCACTCCCGCTTTTAGCAACATAACTATCCCAGTATAAGTTTTAAGAGTAAACCAGGCCTTAGATAGCAGCAGCATCCCCCATGCTTAGGTGCCTAGGCCCTTGGAGAAGAACCTGGGTGCCTGAAGAAACAACTGGGAAGAACCTAAGTCCATGTAGCCTGTTGACTCTCTATGGTGGGGTCTGCTGGGCATGTGTTTCTGGTCCACAAAGTATACAGTGTGGGCAGCTTGGGTGAAGTAAGTTTTTTTTTTTTTTTTTTTTTTTTTAAGATGCATAACTGTGTACGTGCAACATTCCACTTGCAGAGCTCTGGCATGGAAGAGCTTTGTTTTTGATTGTTAGGAAAGGAGGTGATTGCCCATACTTAACCACTTTAGCATTAAAATTCCCTGGTTCAGCTTTGAAGCTTGCATCTCAAGGAGGTGAATGGAGCCGGAAAGAGTTTATGATGCTTCCATTTGGCAAGAGGCATTTTGCTGCAAGTCTGGGTTAACAGGACAAATGTGCATCTGTTTACATGGGTGGGGGATGCTGTCTTGGCAAAGAGGAAAGATAGAAACATTTTTTTAAATGACACCCATTGAATTTTCAAAATGCTATAAAAATTGTGTGGTAGCCCCACAATTGAGGGATCTGCAACTTTTATTAGACCTCCTAGATTCCTGGAGAGGCAAATGTGAGCTCAGAGGATTGTGTTGTGTTTATGATCTTTCTCATGCAGATTTTCTGAGGAGCCTGGTGAGATACTGAACGTTAAAAAGAGGTGTGGAGATCATCATATCACCTCGCGACCCATCATCGTGCAATTTAAAAACAACTGAACAGGTGTTTGAGAAGGGGAGAAATAGTGACACTCCGTAGAAACTGGTTTACAAGGAGAGATTTTTGACAGGATCAATTGGGGTGGAAAATATGTATTTTGCTAATGAAATAAGAATGGTCTTTCCTAACTTGAGGCCAGTTTTCATGTTCTCCTGAGACCAAGTATGGAAAACTTCAGGCCAAACACACATTTGTGCCAAGTGATAGTTGAATGAAATCAGTAGGTCACATATGAAATTGTTTTGCAACCATTCCAGTAGCAGGAATTCACCGGAAAGGGTTATGAGATTGCGAGTGTGATGAGTCTTCCCATTCCAGCAAATTTCATAGAAGTCTCAAGCCTGACCTTAAAAACTTCAAAGGAAGGAGATTCCACCACCTCTCTAGGTAACCCATTCCAGTGCTTCACCACCCCCCTAGTGAAAAAGTTTTTCCTAATATCCAACCTAAACCTCCCCCACTGCAACTTGAGACCATTACTCCTCGTTCTGTCATCAGCTACCACTGAGAACAGTCTAGATCCCTCCTCTTTGGAACCCCCTTTCAGGTAGTTGAAAGCGGCTATCAAATCCCCCCTCATTCTTCTCTTCTGCAGACTAAATAATCCCAGTTCCCTCAGCCTCTCCTCATAAGTCATTGTGCTCCAGCCCCCTAAAAATTGTTGTTGCCCTCCGCTGGACATCTTCCAATTTTTCCACATCCTTCTCGTAGTGTGGGGCCCAGAACTTGACACAGTACTCCAGATGAGGCCTCACCAATGCTGACTAGAGGGGAATGATCACATCCCTTGATCTGCTGTTCCTACTTATACAGCCAAAAATGCCATTAGCCTTCTTGGCAACAAGGGCACACTATTGACGCATATCCAGCTTCTCATCCACTGTAACCCCTAGGTCCTTCTCTGCAGAACAGCTGCCTGGCCGTTCGTTCCCTAGTCTGTAGCAGTGCATGGGATTCTTCCTTCCTAAGTGCAGGACTCTGCACTTGTCCTTGTTGAACCTCATCAGATTTCTTTTGGCACAATCCTCTAATTTCTCTAGGTCCCTCTGTATCATATCCCTACCCCCCAGCGTATCTACCACTCCTGCAAGTTTAGTGTCCTCTGCAAACTTGCTGGGGGTGCAATCCACGCCATCCTCCAGGTCATTAATGAAGATATTGAGCAAAACTGGCCCCAGGACCGACCCTTGGGGCACTCCACTTGATGCCAGCTGCCAACTAGACATGGAGCCATTGATCACTACCTGTTGAGCCCGACGATCTATCCAGCTTTCAGTCCATTCATCCAGCCTATACTTTAACTTGCTGGCAAGAATACTGCGGGAGACCATGTCAAAAGCTTTGCTAAAGTCAAGGAACAACACGTCCACTGCTTTCCCCTCATCCACAGAGCCAGTTATCTTGTCATAGAAGGCAATTAGATTACTCAGGTATGACTTGCCCTTGGTGAATCCATGCTGACTGTTCCTGATCACTTTCCTCTCCCTTAGTGCTTCAGAATTGATTCCTTGAGGACCTGCTCCATGACTTTTCCAGGGACTGAGGTGAGGCTGACTGGCCTGTAGTTCCCTGTCTAGAAACCCAGGCCCAGATTCTGTTGCTTGTTGCCAAGATAACCCCATTGATTTTGTGTAGCCACTGGAATAGAGTGGGTTGGGGCTTGCCTGTGTCCATGATTTTTTGCACTGGTCTAGCTAAACTAGAGGTAGATGTGCTGGTGTCAAGGGGGTTTGCACTGATTGAGCAAACCCGGAAGGTAAGTTGCACTGGTGTAGTTCGTCTGCACGGAGGTTTGCACCAGCACAGCTCCCTCCAAGTAGCTACGCTCATGGAAAATCCTGAATGTGGACATGGCCTTGGTTGCATCCTGGGACAGAAGGAGGAAACCAAGGCCATGTCCACATTCAGGATTTTGTTTGGCTCTTTGAGGGTGGGTGTGGGGGGGAGGGAGGCTTTGCTTTTGTGTCACTTGAGTAGGTGAAACACAAGACAAGATGCGGAGTATCGAATGGACCTCAGTGGTGGCACCCCAGCTAAATATGTCCCATGGTACTGCACCATGTAGATTTGAACGTTTACCTGGAGCGATAACACCAGCCGACAGCTCAGTCTAAACACATAGTTGCAGCAGTTTAACTAAAGGTGTGACTTTAAACAGGTGTAGCTGCTGTATATGTGTGGATGCTATTGGGTTAGCTTAAATCTCTTTTAATTGACTTAAGCTAAAATGATAGGAGAGCTTAGGGTGACCAGATAGCAAGTGTGAAAAATTGGGATGGGGGTGAAGGGTAATAGGAGCCCATATTAAAAAAAAAAAAAAGCCCCAAATATTGGGACTGTCCTTATAAAATCGGGACATCTGATCACCCTAAGAGAGCTACACAGCTGGGGCTTGTGCTGTGTCAAGGTGCTTTGGGTTCATTGGGTTACTTGGGAAGGGGGAAGAAGAGGGACTTGGGCATGTGACACTGTCACATGCCCTCTATTAACTTGCATTCTCTTGAGCTGACTGATGTGATGTCAGTCAATCATTTCTATGTAATAAAATGAATTAACTACTTACAAGTGTGTCCCTCTACCCTTTGGGGAAATGCTACCAGAGAACATGAT